GCACGTTCCATTGCCGAATGCACCAATGCAAAAATTCGAGGTTTCACGGCAGCTGCACTCATCCAGGGGTCGCCCTAAGAAACCATCAGCCCACCCGCAAGGCCTTCCCATTACTTCTATTTTTGTGTCCCATATGGAAAGCGATTAATTTCTAAAGAGTCCTTCTTGAATAAAGTGGGTCCTGGTCTTGGGATGGGATCTGGTCCTAATTCAAAAATTTTCTATGAGCCGATCCGCTCCTGTCACTTGCTAAGACATAAGCAAGCGAAGGGGTGCACTCTGGTAAACATCTCTGCTCTTTGAAATAAAATTACTTTTGAAATTGGCTTGCGAAAACGAAAATTGGATATTGGAAGATATTGTTCTCCCGCGAGTAATACTGCTAATGCAAGTGCACTTGATTCTGGCGTTCTGCCAGCGACTTCTGTATTTATTTTTGGAATTCCTGGGTGGGAGAGCCGTTTCTGCATCCCCAGTCTAACAGTATAGACAGACATGTTCAAGACTTCGTTGCAACCTTATCTTCTTTCTTCATCATAGATTCACTCATAGGTGGATGATGAACGTTAATCAACCGGAGACATTCTGAGAAAACGGTCTGCCCTTCGCCCATGCTGCTAAAGAGGTGAGCTGTCCTGAAACACTTCAAAGTTTGTGCATGCATTCAAGAAACATTTCGATTCTCTACCATGTTCTCAGGTATTTTTCCTTATGATGTTCATAATTTCTCCATTATCCGAATGTAAATTCACTTAACATGGCTATCGATTTTCTTTCGAAAGAAGCAATGTACCCTATCATGAAATAAGTGCATATATCGCTAGTGTTCTCGCATTAAGGTCCACCGAGCTCAATCGTTCCGGCAATCCATGGCCTCGTTTAATTCTGCTGGTAATGCTATCTATATACTAGATGGCATACAATCAACTGAAATTTATTCATGTAGAATTCCCGGTTAAATGGAATTTCTCTATTTACATTCCCCAAATGTATTTGAAGAGAAACAGAGTTACTGAAAAACAATGAAATCCTCTTTGCCTGAATTTATTTTAAAATTAATTACGCTTGAATGTTAAAACAGGGAGCCGGGACATTCCTTATGGCTGGCCGTGCTTTACTGCCTCCTTTGGAAAGAATCGGTCAAAGCTCAGACATTTTATGCTGCACTTCAAGGAAAACGATATGGAAATGTCTCTGAGGAGAGGACTGGGACGGACTTTCCGGCTTGCAGCATCTCATGCATGAAACACAACGAATCTCATCCCTGTCATGCATTCAACTTCAGGGAGGCTGATGGATCTTGCCAGCTGATCCACATTGACAAAAACCATGTCGTCAATGCTGAAGGGTACCAGGCGTATGTTCAATGTGAGTGCCTTGAAATGAGAAGCTAATGGTGAGGATTATGATTATTATTGGAACGAACGAGTTTGTTTGAATTGATCTAGAGAAACCCGATAATTTTAATAAAAGGTCAGCAAACTACGACTAGCTCAAGGTGTGAAAACCCTGAGAGTAGCTTTCAGCAGGTCCTTATGCTACGACCGCTCCATCATGTTCTCCATTTTACCCCATATGACCCGTAATCACCGTATCAGAAATAGCGGTCTCTCCATTACTTCGTCTTTTTTCTTCCCTTACCTCTTATACAGTCCTATGCCTAACTGACTACCCGAAGATCCAAAATGCCGAGGAAGCTTTCCCTGGTTGGACTGGTGCCCATCCTGTCCCACGGGGGGGTCAAGTGGTATTCAAGTGCACACACCCGAGAGGATTCACTGATGGAATTAAGTTACACAAGGCCACCTGCGCCTGCATGCGACCTGACGAATGGTGCATCACATTCGCAGATAAACGGACTTCTGGCCTCTGTCCATCTCCATGTGAGCATTTCTAAAATTAATTCATGTCAAGCATTCCGTCGTCTATCCGATGCTCAAGAGTACGAGGGGCATTCATAAATCTTTGAACTTCACATTATTTCCACATCCACTTTTTTACAGCAGGGAAGGACTGAGTGTATATTAATTTGCAAGAGTCTGGTGTGAACAGTTTACTGTTAGTTCATTTTCATGTGCTGTGACCTTGACATTTTTGACCTTGATAAATGTATTCTGGAGAGTCCTCTTTGGTGGTGCAAAGGCTTATTGAGTGTCTCTCGTCTATTCCATGTTGAAATTCATCATATTGACGTACACGGAGTGGAATTGCGAAAGGAAGACTGGCCTATGTTCTTAATTAAACCTTCGAAAACGGGCATGTCAAACATTTGTTGTTACCAATCCTTATTTCGGCAAGGAAACATTTCACGAATGGAATGCAAGGACTTGCCTGGGTTGATATGATCAAGAGCTTTGCACGTCTTTGGAAAGTTAGAGGAAGGGATGAAGTTGGAAAATCGGTGCCACATCAAACATTCGTTGAATTTGATCCGACGATAGCGATGATGATGTTATTGTGTTATTTAGGCTTTCAATATGTCAAACCAGAGGACCTAGGTTATGAAGAAACCGAGGTCCGGAAGTTAAACATAGCGTTTAACGTTTAACATGTTTCAAAGAGGTCTTGGGACATCCAAGAATCAACACCTCTTTGGCTTTCCGTTAAGGTGCATTTTGATCATGAAACATGCTGCACTTGAAGGAGATTAAATACATTTTTTCTCAGGCACATGTTTAGTATTCATCTTAAAATGGCTTGAAGCAATTGTTCGCACAATCGACGCTAGATGGTGCCTAAGTAGTCGCTATAGCAGGTCAATTCCTGATACAGTTGGAATCAGTCTCCAATACTTTCCACAATATACCGAGCTTTCTCTACATCAACGAAAGCGGAAGATACTCGACTTCTCGAACGAATCCGTCTTTAGATGTAACACAATCCAAGGAGTCTCCAGAGAACTTTGGCTCGACAGATAGAGGGAATATGGTTCAATTTGCAAGGTGAGTTCATGGGGAATGATATTGATATCTTTCATTATTTCTTTCAAGAAAAGGGATTTAAGTGATGGGAATGTCTTACTCCTAAATACCCTGACTGAGGCAAACAAGCTCATTGAACTGAAGGAAACTGCGTTTATGTGGCAAAAGTCATTGTTTCTCAAGATGATAATCCTGTGATGCAAAATTACTATGTGCAAAATTCCAGACGTAAGGACGAGTCAGAGATCTGCTCAGCGAGTTCTGAAATGCAGAAAAAAAAATTCAGAGAATAAATGTCATTCCTCATGGGTGGGACAGGCCTTCCTGTCAGCGTCCAGGTGTGAGGACCAGGAAACAATTAAAATCGCTTTTGTAAAATTACTCTTGCGGCATGACGGCTGGAGATAACAAGCCAAACATTTTCGAATGCTCAAAGTATGTGTAGAGGTTTATATGAAAGGAATTTCAAAGTTTTAGTTACTGCTTCAGAGGTGTCACAATTTTAAAGAGCGGCGCGTTTTTTTTGCTCATCTGGTACTCGACAACTACAGATAGGATGAAAATTTGTTTTTGTGAGACTGAATTGTCCCACGCTTCTCCACCAGACTATCCCAGACAATGTAAGATATTACCGTCAATAATATTAATCGGATACATTATGACTTCTAACCGCAGCGACAGGAGCCGGACTGAATGAAATTAAAGACTGAATGCACTTGAAGTGATGAAAAGAACGTATCCAAAGCGATAATTGCACATCGAATGAATCCTAAAAAAATTAAGTTTCATTGAAACCATTCTTTGCAAATATTAAATTCACCTAGTTTAAGGAAGGTATAATTGGAACTGTTTTTCATTGCTTTGCATTTTGGATATTTAAGCAGGCAATAGAACGTTCGCAATGACGTTATTGGAACACAGGGTATAACTTGAATGAAACGTTCATGGAACACGTTCGGGTGGTATTAGCCCAAACAGCATGTTTATGTTAATTTTACGTAAAATGAATGCAAAGTTTTTGTCCATTTTATATCATTTTTACGCAAACCATTGTCAAGAAAATGTCAACATGTTTGCAGAAATGTCACCTCTGTGATACGTAAACGGTGATATAAAATTAACGTAAATTTTACGTAAAATTGACATTGCCGTTTGCATTCCAAACGTCATGTTTAAATTCATTTTGCGTAAGATTTATGTTAATTTTCGCCTGGCATTCATGCCTATTTAAAGAGTCAATCAGTCCCATTGATATACCGAACCTCCTCTTCCTTTACGTTCTTCAGAACTCTAGGGTGGTTGGACGAGTACACGAACACTCATTCTCACCAGCACTCAAGAGTACCAAAGTGACCTACTGCTTCCACCTCCCGTACTGGAACCTCGGGAGGAGGAGTAGATGTTCAAGGGAGCTCTCTTCCTTTTAGGATAGAGAAGATGTAGTACTTGTGGGGTTGGGATTCTACTCTTCCCTAATTCCGTGCACTGCTGTAATAAAAATCTTAACTTCAGCATTTAATGATTCCCTGAGTCATATATTATAAAAAAATATATTATAATTTCATGTTTTCCATATATATATTCATGGATTGCATAATAAAAAGTAAAAGGATGGTAATAAAACCTGGTACTATATCAGGAAAACCAGTACTTAATAGTAATTATAGGATGCAGGGAACAAGGGTTCCATCTAGTGAGGAATCTTGGTACTGCAACTGCAGGATGGTCAGCTAAAGTTTCATATGGATGGTGTGATGTTAATTTTTCATAAACCTGATATCATGTACTTCACGTCAGATGGAGTGACGTCTAGTTGATGTAAAATACACGTACACTTTGGTGACGTAAATATAGGAACATAAATTTTACGTAAACGTGATGTCATTTTCATGGCAATCGCAAGAAATTTACATTGTTTGCAAGAAATTGATATCGTGTTTACGTGAACATGCTGCTTGGGAGGGTGGTAGTCTCTGAAGATCATGTTGATACCTTCCCCGACAACACAGTATTTCGTTTCCTCTGGTTTGCAGCAGGTTTACCAGCCACTAGTTGATTCCAAAGTTTCACGGATGCAGGATGGGTATGGCGGAGTCTGAAACGCACGAATCCGTTTTCTTTTTGTTCAGAGGGTCTGTCCATCAACCCAGCCCGAGCCAGAGATGAGATGGCCCGGACGATGGTCATAGGTCGAAACCCATAGATTTAACAACATTACCTGGACAACGATAGGATTGGACCGAAATGAAAGGTTTACAACCTAAGCAGAGGATTCTGTTATAAACTGGTGGCTGTGGAATCGGACTCCATCTTGCTCCGTTTCATTATAATGGTCTTGTCTCTCACCTGTTGATCAATCATATTCAGGTCTTCATATCATGGCATACCTTTTTTTGCCGCATTGCGAACTCTTCCTGAAGCATCCTTGGGCCATAGCTTAGTGATATGATCGGATTGCCTGAAAGAAAATTAATCAAGAAATATGTGTGCTCCGGAGAGAACATGGTCTTCCTTCTTGCTTTCCTTGAAGGGGAGCAATATCGCTTCACCAGAAAGGCATAGGCTTCTTGGCCTCGCACGTCAGGCTAAGGTACAAAAATTTTAATCTAGATAGGCCGAAAAGTCACTTTATGCGGATGGGTTCATTATGGCTTAGGTGATGACCACAAAAGCGGATTCACAGCTGAAAACTCTGAGACCTCCTCCCTTTTCCGCCTGCATCTTTAAGAGGATTTGGAGAAAATCTTCTGCTGAAAATGTTTCTGACCAGCGAAGAGAGATACGCACAAAGACACTAGTTTAGGGTTGATGGCGAGATTACCGGTATGACTTAGGTTTCCCCCAACCAAGCAGTCAACATTCGTCTGAGGCAGATATTGTGTGCAGAAATACGCAAATTGCCTGATAATCTGAGAAAAGTGAGAAATATGAGTACTTTGCCATTTCTTTATAGAATCCATTTCTTTGCCGATCCATCGTCGACAAATATTCGTAATATTGTCTACTCATGAGGGATAGGTAATCTCCTTACTATGCATGTCGGCAGATGTAGGTGAAAGGAATGATGCCTGACAAAGGTAAGGTCAGTTGGCTTTACATACGTTGAGCATTAAAATGAAAACTGTAACAAAGAATACTTTTGTGACGAATCATTTTTCTTTCTTAAATCCTTGCGAGAGACTGCGTTGATTGCAATCCGACTGCTATGCATTACTAAAGGCCAATCTGATGCGTGTCATACAAAACGTTTTATCATCGTTTTCTATAAAACATCCAGTGTTTGATGGTAATTCTCATACTGTATTAGCGGCTGTTTATCCTGAGTGCCGACTATCGGAGAAGGGGATGGAGTACATCGGGACCATGAACATGACAGAGATTGGGAAAGCATGCCTCAGGTGGGATTCCGAAAATGTGACTTCTTCCTACGTATCTGCAAATGCTGGGTTCAATGAAATCTTGTTCTTCGAGGAACATTTCTTGAACCAGGACCCATCCTTGCACAAAAACTTCTGCAGGAACCCGACTGGGTTGGCTAAGCCCTGGTGCTTTGTCGATGATGATGGCTTGAAGATTGAGTTTTGCTGGATTCGTTCCTGCGATGATTTCAGTGAGAAATGTAATCAAATTCGTCTGCTCTCCGGGAAGGTAGGGTAAACCTGTATAATAACCAAGCTGGGATTCTAGACATGTCTTTTGCAGGAGGAAATTCTGATTACGCCGAGTTAATGTGAGCTTATTCTTGCGAGGGGATACGTTATTCCCATTATAATCTATTCAAAATGAACTAAACTCGTTCTCATTCTCCACATGAAATTACTGGCTAACTTTGACGGTGATGTTGTTTAAGATTGACTTGATGAACACTGAACGTGATCATTTTCGCGGAGAGTGAAGTGTATAGATGTACATGTAATTAGTAGTTGCGCATCAACTAATAAAGATGAGATCCTACACGGTGAAAGGTGCAAGCTTCATCACGGGATGGTGATCATCACCTTGAACCATAGACAGTAATGCTCTAGGTGGTCCCGCTTCAAAACGGGGTTCCACTATATTCAGATTGTACTGTTTCAAGGTTCAATTTACCGCCACTCTCACTGTATTGCTTACAGGGATGAAAATATAGCATATCCCGTATTCACCCGTACGCCTAGATTAGCCTTTAGAAGGAGATGGCACGCACCTTAAAGTGCTCCCGTTGAGAGCACGCTAAATTGAAGGATATGATGCGAAAATATGTAACGGGTTTTTTAAATGGGTAGTCTCGACACTCCCAATTTTTGACCTCTACCAAATTTTAGCTTTCAAGAATTATGCTTTTCGAAATGACAAAATCTTATTTAAAAAACGTCTCTGTCGACATATGTGTCAAGATGAGATGTAACTGGGATTTTGATTTGAATCTTTACTCGATGTTTTCTCATGAGCCTAATCTCAGATCACCTTATATGCTCCCGTTTGTTACAGCAAAAAAAATACAATTCTTTAAATACTTCTCTTCTGTGATCCACCCAGATGGAACGTATTTCAAAAGTAGGATTTTTTTTGGGTTCTCAGCAATTCAACAGGTACTTCTTCGTCAAGTTTCAGTACCAAAAATTATCCTTCTTTTGAAAAACATTACGAAAATAATATGTTACCTTTATATAATACGCAAATAATATATATATTACCTGGTAGTGGCCTGCTTCCCACCAAGGAGCAGATAGTAAAAGGGAAATACCAATGGTGCCAGTCCCACATAAATCAATCTAGGCGATGGGGAAATAAATCCCCCTCTCCTGAACAAAACCTGATGGAAATTGCCTGTTTCCTGTTTTACGGAGCACACCTCCTTGCATTGACTGATGCACGCTATTCAGTCCACTTAGTAATTTAAAAAAATTGGAGGCCATTGAAAACTCAAGACAGGGAGAATTATTTCCCCCTCAAATGGGGGAAATAATAGAAGAATTAACTAGTAGAATTATGGATTCAGAAGTTCCAAAAACGCCTACATAGGGGGGAAGGAAGGGAAAGAGTGAAACTGGAAGATTGGAAATTACGAGCAAGTATACTTCCATCGGGAATAACCAAGAAATATTACATTTGCAGCAGTGGATAATATTATAATATTCTAACAGATCTCCATGGTGCCAGTCCCACCCAGACCAATCTAGGCGAAGGGGGAATGAACCTCTCTCCCGAACCAAACCTGACAGAGATTGGCTGAGCTAATGCAGAAAAGCCTGCATTAGCAGGCTTTTCTGCATTAGCTCAGCCTGCAGAAAAGGGGCAAGGCTGAAGAAAGCTAAAAGAGGAAGGACAGTGAAGAAATATCCCAGACTCTGTCATGCAGTCTTCAGGGGGTTGAGGCTGCAAGCTTAACACGACACCCTAACCAGACCGTTTCTTCCGTTAGGCGCTGAAGGTTTGGAATTAAATTAGAAAGGCAGTACCTAGATTTTCAGAGGCACACCCGGCTAAAGTCAATCTGCCGGCACCACTGTCAGCTAACAATTGGCTTGACCAGCCTTGCGACCGAAATTCATAACGATAGCGGTCCCTGAGGGAAGCAACCCAGCATGGCTTGGAATGACTCAGGCCTATGCTGTAAAAAGAAAAAAGGGATGGTTGCCTGGGAAACGCATTCCTACAATGTTCAATTCCTACAAGAAAGGGGACTACCATGAATTCAGCCAGCAGTGTTCTGTGCTGACAGACTGGAGAGACTGCCCAGATTGCCTCTGCTAAACTAGGCCTTTGCTTCAAGGCACGTTAAACTAAAGCGACCTAACCCAACCGCGACAACCTGGTTAAGTTAATTCTTCGGATAAATGCAAAAGTTATGGGAAAGAGCCCAATCACTGGTATAGAATTCCTGGATCGGTTCTGTGTTGCTGTCACACCTGTGCTGCAAGGGCCGCACACCCGAGCTGTTTACAGGTCGAGCTTCCGGAATATCCATAAATCTTCTCCAAAAGGATGCAATACATGCATACCATTTCCTCCAGGAGCGTATTTAATAAGATCTTATTTGGATCATTGTGAAAACAGTTTAAATAGTCTTTTAAGGAAATCTCCTTCACAACCATTAGCAAGGAGCCTCTGGTGTAAGAGCAAATTATTATAAAGGAAACTATCTGCTTCAGAGCAAATATTTGCATACCTTTTCATCAGAGAGGCGATGACGTTTTTGATAATATGCATAGAGATATTATTTATTGCATGCGGTAAACTGAGGAATTCGAAATGAAAATCTCTTCTTTTATCATAGAAGCTTAATTGCCTATTTAGCCAAAATATTTCTCTAATATTAGGTTCATTACTATAACACCAGCTGTCTGTTATCGTCAAAGATTCGCTTGGCATTCAGTAGCCTATGGTATAAACGGCTATTGAAGTTTAACATGGTGCGAGCTTTTGACTTGGGACTATTTCGGGGGTGGGAGTGGTGTGATGACTTGAGACTCATTGGGCATTTTCTGTTGCCCTTGGGTAGTTTCGGATAATTTCGGCATCAAATAACTTCTCTTACTCTATCTGTGCACCTTGGTTGGGGGCAGTTTACTGCCCAGCCTGGTAATTGCCTATTTAGCCAATATCTTCCTTTAATATTACGTTCATTACTACATATATAAATATTTTTTTAAATGCTGAAATCGGTATTCCGAATACTACAAGCCCACTAGCTTTCAGCTCATGAGCTATAACTTGCCTTTTTTGTTGGTGCAAAAATATATTTGGAAAACCTGACCAGCCGCAAAAATTTGCCATGAGGGGATGCACCACAGAATTTCAATTTTTCCTAACTCAGCATCATATCAGTTTTTCATGCGCCGAATTTTACCTTTCATATTTCTGCCCAATTCGATGGGACAAAAGACAAAATTATTTCAAAACGTCATCTCCAAATGTCCTCCAAATGTCATCTCCAATGCCCCCAGGGAAACATCTACACCATGACATATTTCTCTACTTCGAACCTCAGAAGGCACGTTCATTCCAAATTCTAATTTCCCATGTCTCTCCAATCGACTGAAGTAAGCAACTTTATTTGAAAACTTCCCTACCTAAAATATTCGCCCTTAAATCATTTACCTTCAAAGTCAGAATTGTTCTGAACTCAGCATCCCAGAAGGAATCTACCTAACAAATTTCAGGTTTTAATATTATCTAAAGCATGGCTAAAACTATCGTCAGAATTTCATTCAAGGGTAACCACGACTCGTCTGATGCAATATATAAATATTTATCAACTTTTCTCTTTTTCTTCCTCGACGTAATGTGGGAAACGTGCGCATAACAAGGGGATAATGCTTTGCGAAAGTTTGCTGCAAACAAAGTCTAATTAATCTTATTAGTTTTTCTATGTTATGGAACCAAATTAAATGGTTCAAGAACAACTTTAGTTACAATTACAATTACAATTTAATTACAATAATTATGCATAAAGGGTCTGCGTTTGCACTTGCAGGCTTGCCAGAGTGCAAGTTGAGCCAGAAGGGAGGGGAGTACGTAGGCGTGAAGGACAAGACCATCTCTGGCTTCGATTGCATTCCGTGGCTGGATGCAGACAGCAGCGGTGGGGACCGGATCCGTGGGCTCCGCAAAGGATCATTCTCAGATGAACTCACTGACAGTCACAATTTCTGTCGGAACCCGAACGGAAACCCGGGTGGTCCTTGGTGCAATATCGTAGTTCCCGGAAAGCCCAACCTGAAGTGGGAGTATTGCGACGTATCCTTCTGCGATTTCGACGCTAAACAAAGAACCAGAGAGTCTGGAGACCATTACGAGTCAAGTGAGTTATCAAAATCTAGGCAAATTTAGATGTTATCTCCTTACTAGCGAGTTTATTTGCTTGTGGGCAAAAAAAAACTCGCTATGGGCGCGTCTTCGGCACTCTAGACTCTAAGGAAATGTCAAATGCGTTTTAAGTATGTGAATTGATTTTCACACCTATGAGTACAATGTGGTTCAAGTCCTTGCGGCATGGTGGCGTCAAGGAAATATCACCGTTACGCCAAAGAAGACCTGCACGTCCTTGCATACATCAACAACATGCCACCACCTCGTCTCAACTCAAGGAAGTCGTTCTGGGTTACTACATATCCTCTATTGTACACAGTGCAGCCTAGAGGACCAATGGTGGAACGCCTTGAACATTTCCAATGTCCCCAGTGAAGACTTATTCTTGGTGGGGACTCAACAACTCCTAGGAGCATCATTCCCCCACAGTGATCTACGATGAACCGTATCTGAACCGGATAGGGTATTTGGGGCCACTTCTTCCATAGATAGAAAATTAAAGCATCCCCAGCATGTGATTGCAGAGCACCTGATCTAACCCTGCATCTCATCACCACTCATTGCCCAAAGATAAAATTCTCTGGTAGCCTACAGGACATACACCACCCCAAATTTGAAGCCCTGTCGTGAATATCACACTTGCACATAGATATTTAAGGTGCCACTCGACCTGCATACGATAAAAAACAGGCGAAGAAAAAATTTACTTGTTAACATATTCAGTCTCGTTTTCTTAATTTTCTTTTTCTAGCCCGAGCCTGATTGAGTTTTTATTCAGAGCTGATACTACCTGCATTTCCTCGTGAAAGAAGAGGTGATCCAGATATTATTCATCCATTCTCATGGAGTTATTTTTGCTGCCTCCTTCCGTTATATTTCCGTTACATTACATTTCCCGTGTCAGTAGTTTCCCCTTGATTTTTCCCCCCTTTGTTTCAGCCATGGTTTCTCTATTCTTTGACGTGCCTGCTGGAGATGCAGTCATATTTTCTAAAGCCATGTCTGTGGCTCCCGACTCAGAGAAAAAATCACCCGTAAAGATCCCTTCTTTTATTCATACCATTAGGCATTACTTTCTTGATGGACCTTAGATAGACTATTTGGGCCTCTGTCCCATCACTGTCGGGGATTGTGATTCTTCTCTTGAGCCACGCATCCCACCAGGGACTCCGTCCTCCCTGCTCTTTTCCTCCAGTCACGTCCGTCTCGTTATACTCCATTTTCGTGAACTCTGTTCTGCGTCATTTTCGACTTAATTCGTTTTTCCTCCGTTTGAATGACCTTGGCATTGAAGCGCTTTCATTTGGCATACCGTGGCTTCATTTGCCACCCTATTTCGTTCACATGAGTCTCAGGAGGGTCTCCCTTTGGCCCGCTGCTTTTACAAATCCCCCCAACATGTGACATTTGCAAGAGCAGGGCTTCAATTCGGTCGGTATGCCAAACTAGCTCATGAATGAGAAAGTGGATTTAGTAAGCACACGTGATGTCTAGTCCGAACACGGTTACAATTGTTAAAATGCAGATTCATTCATCGACATGACATGAAACTATTATGAGGTCGACTTCTGAAGATGTGAACTGGAACGTGGCGAGGATGTACGTGGGGCGTCTAAAAGTATTTTGACTTTTTCCATGTACGCCCCTTGCTTTAAAAAGATATATTTGAAAATTTGCAGGCCACTCCATCTAGTTCCTCAAAATCCATCACCATGGTTCATCAAAATCCGTCTAGACATTGCGCGAGTAGAGGAATAATTTTTGGTGACCACCAATAAGGAGGCTAGGAGAAGGAAGGGAGCGAGACAGACAGACGCATGTGCACGAGGTAACTCCAGTCAGGATCGGTAATGGCGCCTTGCCTTCGTCCTGAGGGCTTTCATGCGCACGCGTCTTTCACCTGCCTGCGAAGAGGACGATTACTCCCCATTCCATTGTTAATTACCAAAAACAGGAGATTCCCTTGCGCTGCCAAAGTTGAAAAGGCGAATGTTGACATCGAATGTCACCTGCCGAAATTGAATGGGAAAACCGGGAGAAGAGAGGAGCGCTGCGGGAATTGAAACGGCCGCTGCGGAATTTGAAAAGACTTATGATGAAATTCGTCCGAAAAAACGATATTAGCTGAGAGGTCGGGATGACAATTCCGCGTTCGAATGAAATTCACTGGTCAGCAACAGGCGTCTCCAAATCATATCCCAATGACATTTGTTGACACAAGCAGCGATAACATGTTGCTACTACCCGGGAATGAAGCGATGGTGACGAAGAAGAGTTGTTTCACCCGATTCGCATTTCACGAAATCCTCCAGGCAGCGTTTCACATTGCAGGATGCAGCAGTGACGCAGAGGGTTACTACTTCCTCCTCTTCTTGGGAAATTGTTAGAGCAGTCATAGTTGTGAAGTCCAAATGGAAACACATAATAAGTTATTTCAGGCATATCAGTGTAAATCGTCTTCCGTTTGCACTCAGTGAGCAAGGCGAGAGCAGCATCGTCGTTGTCTCCTTCCAGTGTGACGGAACATAATGGAGAACTTAGTATTCTGTACTTTTATTCACGCGTGTACAATTATACAAATTTCTCGCAAAACATAACATGATCACAAAAGTTCGTGCGAATCAACCAATCGTGCCAATTAAATGTCATCGGTCCTTCCCAAAGGAAAACCCCTTTCAGCATATTTGAATGCACATTTGACATTCATTTCCCGAAAAATTCATGAAACGTCTGAAGACAGTTTCACATACTTGAGCACCTACTTATTCGCTGCTCCATTTACCATAACGTCATCCTGAGCGAAAAATGAATTTTGAAAGAAACGGGGAATCTTGCAGATGCACGACCCTATTCTCAAGATCTATATTCCCTCTCTGAAATGGCTATTCATACATTCCTAGACATAGGCCCTATAGAAAACTTTCTGCAAAGACTACTAATTATGAACAATGAGATTCTAATCGGCTACTTGGCTATTCCCCATTGGGTAATTCGGTAAGTCATTAAGTGTTTGAATGCTCAACTGCCTCAACATCCACCAACTCCATCGAGTGAACCACTGAGATTTTACAATACTATTCATTAATGCCCACCTATATCAGGTAGATCGAATGAAGGTACTTTTCACTCTGGGAAGCAAGGTCTTCTTCTGCTAAGAATTCGCAGGCATAAATGGGTCCAATAATTCATTGCCCTTTTATCTTAGATGGAGGAGTAATGCAGCCCAATTACAAAAAATGTCGGATTACGGAAATGGGGAAGGAATACTACGGTGAAGAGAAGACGACAGAAACAGGGAAGGAATGCGAAATCTGGCCCAATGAGATAGACGACGATTTTCCAATATCACTTTTCTCCCACCTACCATTCCAAGATCGCCAGCCATCTGGACCGACTCAGATGATCCGGGAATTTTTCGGCCGATGGACGGAGTTAGCAGAACCAAACAAACAAATCTCAGAAGAAAATAACTACTGCCGGAATTATGGTTCTATGGAGCGACCCTGGTGCCTCGTTTCCCATGAGAACCTTATCTGGGAGTACTGTGACATCCCTCTCTGCTATGGTCCCAAAGGTCTGAATTCCTTTCGTCAGTGAACTTCTTAAATCGGGTTCTCAGAACTCCGAAGCAGCAATGAATTATCCTTTTGTTGATTAACGGTTAAATTAAAGTTTAATATGTTTAGGTTTTCTACCAGGGGTTATACTGTTTTTATTTTCCCTGTCGTTTTCCGTTATTACCATCCGATTCTTCCGTAATCCAGTCCATCTCTGTGGGATTTACATTCTCATTTGATCTTCAAAACTTCGAAGTGGAAGAAAATTAAGTACTTCGATTCCAACCAATCATATACATTTTACGTTTAATTTCGTAAATTCCATTCCTGATTTCTCTAAAAAAAATTACGAGTGGCGTTCAATAAGTACTGATACCCTATTTAAACCGGAGGAACGATGGTTAAGCATAGCGTGGGCGATCCTGACCGCTAGTCAGGTCAAGTGACAAATGTTTGTTCGTATGTGTGTGAGAGCTATACAGGCCACACGCTTCTAGATATGGTCTTGAGGTTATAACGGAACATTTCCTTCTGATCCGAGAATGTGCCTTTTCGTTATGAAACTTGCAAATTGGTCCCTCGAAAGGGAGGGGAGGTAACTTTCACAGACAATCAGAGAATTGTTCTTGTCTCGCCATCTCTCTAATTAACGAAGAGACGAGAGTCGCCTTGATACTCGTAAGGGAACGCCGACATCACTCACTGCAGTGCCTCCAATCTGCTGCCGGGAATCCAAGGATTTTAAGCGTCTATGATGAAATATGGGGCGAATCGTCAGTTGGTCGCCAATTGCGTTCACACAGGCACCGAAAAGAAGTAAGTCATCACAGTTTCCTCGTGGAGGTCCATCTCTCAAACGACAGAATTTCAGATATGGATAGTAACGTCGTGTATTGTCACAGCTTACATAATCTTTTTTCTTTGAAAGCGACCACGAACGACGCAAGGAAGGCGACGAGCGCAAGAGTAATTTATATATTTTGTGGTTTTCCCGTTACGCAGTCGCTTTGGTAGATGGGAAACAAATTAATCGTATATTCTATGGAAGCGGAAGCGTGAAAAGAGAAATGTTGATTTGCGGACCGTGACAGTATTGTCTGCTGCATGTTCCCTATCTCCACCTTCCCTTCATTCGTATGAGCTAATTAACGATGCTAGCCGTTGATGTTTCTCAGACTGCGACTGCCCACATTTGGGTGGTTTTTTTCCGTGGTTGCGGTTTCGCTTTTGTGCTCCATCACAGAGAAGGTGTGTTCTAGATTCTAGTGGGAAATGCAGGGTGGCCCATTTAACAATATATAGTTTTGTTTGGCCATAGCTCATATGAATTTTTCAATTTCAAAAATATTTTTTGCACAAAGTAGTTCTGACCTTGCAATTTTATTTGGCCAATTTCCATTGAATTCTGCTGCAAGCTTTTCGAGACATTCAAGTTTTACTGTAACTGGAAACTTTTGCATACTCGCGCTGATATTTCATCTACGAAGGAAATTCTGACTCGAAGTCTTTGAAAAATCAGATTTTTCATTATGATTCGATCGTGATCTTCCTTCTCGTATCAAGCATCAAGTGGCACAATGCTTTAATAGAAACTGGTAGCGTGGAAACTGCTGCAAACGGAGATTAACAAGGCGCACAGATGTCAACCGCACTCCGGACGTGTATGAATTGTCGTTCGTCGCATGTTAAAGACTTTGGCGGCTTTTTCAGTTGACGCATACAGATCTCGTTCAAAATGTTCTTGAATACGGTTGACATATTCCGAGCTCCATGGTAATTGCCAATTTCTCTCCGCATTTTGCACACCTCCAGTTTTCATTAAAGCTTGATAATGACCGAATTCTGCAGGAAACTTTCGTGGAACAATCTCGGGACTTTTTTCCTCCATTTGTAGCAAACAGCAAACTTTGCCCGTTAATCATGCCCGAAAATGACAACAAAAGCGAACAAAATGCAAAATTTCAGACAGACATTGCACGTAATAAACAGCACCAATGACATGTACAACGTGCGACAACGAATCATGATAAACTCTCAGTATTCTCAAAAGCTTCATGCCCGTAAAATCAGCTGGCTCATGGAAAGTTAAATGTTACAGTAAAAATTGAATTTCCCAAATATTTCCTAGCAGAACTTTTGGAAATTTGGCTAAAAATTATAATATCGGCACTAATTTCTGTTAAAATATTATTGGCATTGATTAACATTTACTTAAGCTATAGCCAAAGAAAACTGTGTATATTTAAATGGGCCACCCTGTACTATCGCTAAGTTTGGAAGGTGCATTCCACATAGTAAGCTTCTTTGAAACAATAACACTACAACAATAACAATAAGTAGAATATAAACTTTTTTCTCCGCCCTATGTCCACCATGCTGCATTGGCGTGCGGAGACGCCGCGTGGAGTGATATATGAAATGACCTTGATATGAAATTATAATGAACGTGGATTTTACTAAATTATTTTTCTTCACCTTGCTTGACAAAATGCTTCATTCCCATGATCATGTGGCAAGGATAGTCTCGGGCCAAATGAGACCTGAATGCTTCATAGGTATGACATTGCTAAAGTAACACATAAACGCTGTGGAGAACGTTCAACGTGTTTTCAAAGACGTCTTTGGTAGTCCAATGCACATGAATGAGCACCTTTTGGCACTCAGTTAAGGTGCCGTTAGATCACAAAATATGCAGGATTTGGAAATTCCTTGAACGTGAAACATATTTTTCCCTCAACCATGTCTATGGTATCACTTTCACAAAGGCTGGAAGGAAAGGTTCGCATAATTGACGATATATGGCGGCAAAGTAGTCGCTAAAGCGGGTCAATTCCTAATACAGCAGGAATTAGTACTCACTCCCATCCAAAAGGTCGTTTTGTGGAGAAAGATACCACAAGGCATCTTTCTCCACATGAACCAGATGGGAAGACACATTCCTGAACAAATGCGTCTTTAAGGTGTCCCAGTCGAAGGAGTCTCCAGAGAACTCTGGCTAGAAATATAGATAAATGCTATTTCAATTGACTAAATATCATTTAAGTGATAAAAAGAACATGTCCAAAACGATATTTGCATATTGGATGTATCATAAGAAGAAAGTTTAATTGAACCTTTTTCTTGATTTTTTTCAAATTCACGTCCTTGATGAATTCATGTAGTTCAGGGAACGTATAATTTAAAGTGTTTTGATTGCCCTAAATTTTGGAAATTTATGTAGTCAAGGAAACGTTTCCAAGGACGTTCATGGAACGCTGGGCAATAACTGAAATGGAACGTTTATAAGCACTTTCCGGTGCTACTGTGGTTGTACCTGTAGTCTCTGAACATGATGGTGACTCTTTCCACGACAGCAGAGCATTTCGCTTCCTCCGGTTTGCAGCATGTTTACTTACACCTTGAATTATTCTAACCTAGAATCGCCCTGCAACATGAATCACTTTTTAGTACCTGGAGGGTGACAGTAAAGCAATCTAGAGTTAAAGAATGCCATGAAGTACAACACATCATCTCACCTCACTCTATGTTGGAGTGACTAGTCGTGACCCAAATATGATTATGTGCGCTTGCTTCCTAACCCTTTCCTTGGCCTGAAAAAGCTAAATCTAGGTTCCGTTATCAGTAATAACTTATGCAAATGCTTGGAATTTGTTTATTTAACTTTAGTGATTTTCACACATCAAATTTTCCTCCGTTCCTGTTCCTATGCATCTGAGAGCACGTGGGTCTTAATTCTAGAACATATTTTCCTCATTCAGAGGTTGAGGCGGTGAATGGTCTCAGCTGCCCGTCGAGATAGCCGCACTATTAGGTGCATCATGCACATTACCACATGCATCCTTTTCAAATATGCCTTCTAGAAAAGAATACAGTTCTTTGGGGTCGTAAAGTAGGTGGACTACCTTGAAGTGCGGTCGTTTTCCAGGCTCCTCATTCCTTTTCAGTAGCGAGCTGCCTACCCACAGCTAGTATCTATATCAGGAAAAAGAGGCTTATGAGATTTTCAAGAAGTCACGACGAAAAGACCTCGGTATACCTTTAAGGTGCATGTAAAGTCGCATGTCTATACACATCGCTATGTCAACTGTACCAGCTACTCTGTAGTAGCAGAGCTTACTAGGTGAAAATAAATTCAATAAAACTGTTCATTTCCTATGAGATGATATGCACAGAGAAAGGAAGAAGTCTAATCAATTTAAAACCTGCATTTCATGATTCAAGAAATATATTTATATTTTTTCCTGTTGAGTGAATGATTACAGAAAGGAAGTGGATGAGATAATACTTGTTGAACGCCCTCATGCATATTCGATGTCGATCTGGCATTTATCGATTCGCTGAATTGAATATCTAAGACGTTATCTATCCAATTCGTTAAGTATTTCGCTGTTTCCTTGACTGCATAGAGCCTGCGGAATGCAAACAAACGAATTCTGGACGAGAGTACTTAGGGTTGAAGAATGTGACACTGACGGGGAAGAAGTGCCAGCCCTGGCTGAGCCAAACGCCAAACCAACATTTGACCATCCTCCACCTACCGGTATTCCCAGATTCTGGCATGGACAGTCGTCACAACTACTGTCGAAACCCCGACCTCGATAAGGAGGGACCTTGGTGTTACAACGGAGAGGGTACCAATCCTGCATGGGAATATTGCGACATTGAGTTTTGCGAGGGGATGAATTGAAGGGTTTCTGTCTTACTTCTGAATGTGGGAATTGTTTATGTTTGTCGGGAAGAATCGTATTTCCTGCACGCTATTACTACTATATTCAGCAACCCACTCTCCCCCACACTGTTTGTCTCATCTTCTCTTGGTCTTTCTCCTGCCAGCAATATTGTGAACGCTCCTCTCTTTTCCGATTTTTGGGCGTGTCCTGTGCATTTTCAGGAAATTTAGGCATTTTGGCCTTCGCACGGCCTCAAGCAGTGAATTTAAAAGAGGCTACTTTCCATCCGACGGTATGCAATTCAGAATTTTTACCAATAATTGCCTCCAATATCTTGGCACATGTGTGATCACCATTATTATTTCTGTAAAACCAGAAAAAAACTAACGTTGATTAACCTCTGCACCAACTTGTAGGCCAAGTTGTTTTAATAGATGTGCTCCTAATGATTTGAAGTTTGACCCATCTCATCTCTGCAATGGCCATTTTTGCATTCATTGTTTCGCATTTTTCCTTGGATGGTTTGATAAACCTCGTCTAATATGCATACCCGGAAGAAAACATTTACATAGATATATCAAAAGTTCCAGGAACAGACTTCATTAATGCAAAATACAGGGTGCGCCATTTATATTCATACCACGTTTAACTTTTCTATTCATGTACTCCTAAAAACACCAAAGAATATATATATTGCACCTCTATATGAGCGTCTCTTTGGTGGTCAACCTTTTCCGTTTTGGCAGGAATCCTCTTTCGCCTAAGTATGGCAAAAGTGCAAAAAAAATAGCATAGCTAACCATGAGGCAGAAATGGTCAAAAATACACAAGAAATCCTATACAACTTTGACCATAACCAGATTACTGTACGCCATGTATGCTTGAAGCAAGTGCTCATGAACGAAATCCAAATAACTGGACCAGTTAAGGTTCGCGCGGAAATAGGAGTGAAACCATGTCCTTCAAATGCAATCGACTTACAAACTCAAATATTTCAGGTTCCCATCAAGAAGGAACAGGGATACATCAAACATATTTTGTCAATATTACGGTGAGCAATTGTGTTTTGTTGAGATTTAATTCATTCCAGGAGAATTTATTATTACAGGAAATACAAGACTTCGATTTGTTGTGAATTTGTATGTCCAATCATGTTTGTATGGAATTTATGTTTAAGATTTTAAAGAAAATTTGCAGGATCTTTCCAAGTTCGTCCGCTGTGACTACAGGCAACCAATCAGGATCGGGGCAGCACTATTGGAATTCTAACCAGTCGAGGGGTGACGTTACTCCCACTCACTCCATCTTTCAAGAACGAAGTGCCTCGTGCAAGGGTTCCGTTCCAACGGCACAAACGTTTTGCTGTCAGCTGGGACCAGTGTGTTGAGGGAGGTTACCAATAATGGGTTACGAGAAGTGTTCCAAGCTATTTATGAATGTTGGGAGTAGTTTTTCGCGAGTCAAGATTATTGCTTCAAACGTGATCCAACTGAAACCTATATTCCGTGCATAGTTTGGTCATATGATGACCGTTCTGGGAAATATTTGATAGGCTCTCGTACATCTACTCTGAATACTACTGCGTTCTTCCCCCTAGTCTGGAATGCAGAATGCCATTTGTTTTACCTATTTGTTTTACCTATTTTTTTTCTCCCACCTTCATGTTCGTTTCCACTTGATTCTGGATATCGTCAATCCATTCGGTGTGGTATTCCATCCGGGCGTGATACCTTTGTAATAGTAAAATATATTCGGCTTGCTTGAAATCCATGTGCGTGAATATATATATATGCCATTTTCAGTCGCAAATATTCCCGAATTCATTCCGATTCCTAGTGCATTGAATCCCCGAAATTGCCAATAATAAATAATCAGTTTTCGTTAATATGGGGTAGAGCACAAAATGTAAGACGATCAATTATCCTCTATGCATTTGTTAGATAAATAAACGTTCCACATGACGGAATTGAAGAAAGCGTGTTATTTATAACATTTGTAACAAAACCATTGGTCTCAGAATACGCTCAATGAAGACAATGGGATAGCGACGAATGATGAGCTCAAGATTGTCCGAACAAGCAATGGCAGCGAAAAGCAACATAGAAGCGAAACCTAAGATTCAAGTTTTTCTCTGGCTTTCCCTTGTTAATAAAAACTAGGGTTCAGGTTCTGAAGCAAAAATATTCCACAATAGGTATAAGTAATGCTTAACTTGGAATAACGAAGATATTCCTCGTTATTCTGGCGTCTGCCGAATGAAACTGTACTTGCACCTACAATGCAGTTTTACGTTTTTTATTGCCCCCATTTTGTTTGCATTGAGTCTCTACCTGTCCAGCGTGGCGTAGGCGACATCGAAGAATCAGGGGCAGCCAAGTGTTTTTAAAGATAGTCGTGCCTTCGGGCATCGATCATTTCTATGATGCGTTGATTCTTTTCATTCACGTTTTATGGTTTTTAGGCATGCACTCCGTCTCGTATGTATCTCTGCACGAAGTCCCTGTGTCTAGTGAGCTTTGATGTCAAGGAATCCGCTAGCTTCGCCCATATTCGCTGCCACGGTCGTCTTGCTGGGATACCATCCCTGGTGGCACATAACACTGAATCAACATTAAATTCATGTTGTTTCAGTTTCATGTGCTAACAGGGATTCTTTGCAGACTTAAATCGTATGTAAGTACCAGCTGGTACTGCGGGATAATATCAATATCTGAACCAGAAAGAACTGCGCCTTCACGAAGGACAAAACGCCTGTAAACATATTTGTGCATAATGGCAACGTGCCATTAAGTTCTTGTGTCTGAACGCTCCTATTCCCTTAATATATGCGGATTTTCTGCAACCCACTCGATGTAGTCATGCGAGCTGAACTCGTTGCATATAAGTTTGCATTTTGAGTGTATTCGGCTTTACTCGATGGCCTTTGATAAGTGAAATTTCAAGTTCGAATAGAGGTCTTCTGATAGATTTTGGCAGACTGCATGCCATAGTGGCCTTAATACCTTCAACATGTTCCATACTTGTTGAGGGCCTCCCGTTATATGTTTTAACATCCATGCAACATCCAAGCCGTCCCTACAATACATCAAAAAGGTGTAAAATGACCTGTTTTCTGTCCGACCTGAAATACTCTCGCTGCACTAGTGTTACACGTTGTAATTTGGTGCACAAAGTGACACACTTCATTTTTTCTTGATGCATCTCCATTTTCGGCCAATGTTTCATGAGAATACGTCGAATCAAATTTCAGTAAATATCAATATTTTCCTGACCGCGTCGGCTCAACTGAAACGCGTAAGCGAAACCGAAAGCCATCCATAGCAGAGACGAGCAGGGTGGTTTGAGAGGCCGCGCATCGTCTAGACCAGTGGTTCCCAACCTTTTATTGCTACGACCCTAAATTGGCCACCAACAGGACTTCCCGACCCTCAAGCTTATGATAAAAGGTAAATATGTAAATAAAAAAGGGGAACGAGACCGAAATGCATCACTTGCAAGACGCATGTATTGGGTTGGCCAGAAAGTTCTTGCAGTTTCAGACAATATTCCAGAAAACAATTATAAAATATGTCAACAATGTAAGCACCATTGTGTTCCACTACATGTCTCCACCTTCCAGCCAGGGAATGTATTCCGCCGTGGTAGAATGATGGGGGCTGAGACTCTGTCGAAGAACTGTCGCAAGTAGCATTCGAGGTCTTTCTGGTCGTCCAACTTTTTCTCTTTGAGGCAGTTCTGCAGGGCGCGGAAAAGGTAATTGTCCGACGGAGCAAGGTCCGGGGAGTACGGTGGGTGCCGCAGAATCTCCCATCCGAGGGCGAGGAGTTTGAGTGGGTCATATTTTGTGTTATGCGGCCGGGGATCGTCGTGAAGGAACAGCACTTTGTCACGTCCAGGCCGAGCCGTTGAGAGTTTCTGTCTCAATCTCTCCAGTCGGTCGCATTAGTAGGCCGCCGTGATGCTGGTGTTGGAAGCATCACGAACATTACAACACTTTAACATGAGTCGCATGGGAGACATACTTTTTAAATAAATAAAAATCATTATTTTGCTCCGCTAAATATTACGCATGTGCTCGGAACCGCTTCCAGGTGTTTTATACTGCAAAGGTTCACATATTTGTCTTCGCTTTAAATTAAACTTTATTGCCCTATTTTGGGGGGCCACACTGTATACGTGAACAGGGCACCATAGACAGTTCAGACGCAGGTTACGCATGTGTAAATAAGAACACTTGGAGTCAAGAGAGGCCAAATACCTATCCATCGATTGTAGTTCATGTCCTGTTGAAGAATGCACTAGCTGCCCAACAAAAGACTTGATGGATGAGGCTGGAGGGCGAAGCGAGCAAAATAAATAAAAACCAATTCCCATCCACAAGCACAACAGTACACATCAACCCTAGTCCTTCCACCTAGCCTATAACATAGAAAGGCATAGGGCAGAGACCTCCTGCCGCATGCTAAGACAACAGGTTTTCTCGATCCGACAGGCTTTCCTGGATGCCAATGAATCAAAATCGAAATAGGCCTGCTGAATCAGTCCTTTCACCTCCAATGTGAACTATGTCCGTGGTAAGCAAGCCAACAACTATTTATTTTCCATCCCGCTTCCTTTGAAGAAAGGCCTGAGAATGGTATTGGCCTAGGCCTGCGAAATCCGTCCCCCTAGACATGCGATCCCGGGGCATGTTTCACCCCCCTACGTAGTCGGAATTTCTCTGGAGTGAACAACCCAACACTACCTTCAATGACAGATAAAGGAACGTGTGGATTTGAATGGCATAAGCCTAAACTATAGAGTAGAGAGTGTAACTAGAGGCGGTTCTCCGAGGGGTGGGGGAGGGTCGAAATATTACATAGACATCTGGTGGCATGTTATCAACAACACTTTCTTGAGGCGTGCTTCGTGGCAGCGGAATCAGGAATCGACTCATTCGGGGATTCGAAGCAAAGGGATCCATCAACGTAACAAGCGTTTCTCGTCGAGCCTGCTGCTCGGCCATGGAGGCATGTGA